CAGGTCTTTATGGCCCTGGCTCCATTTCCATTCTGGGGAGTATCAGTCCGGTTCCTATTCCTCCGGCAAGTCAGAAAAAGTACATCGTGTTACCCACTCAACGCTTCCTTCCGTCTGGACGAAGGAACGTTGACCAGCATTGATTACTCCTAGGGAGGATTGACTGTCAGCTTGCCCAACCCACTTGTTCCTCTCAGGCTTCTAATCAGAGCCTGTCAAATGAGTCCTTGAAATATGAGAGAAGTGGGGTGGTCTGCTCCGTGTTCTGTTGCTTGTCCTTGTTCTTCACTGTGTGTCTGGTTCGCCTTGTTGTTGAACACCGTTCGGACCCTTCTGCGAGTTTGCCTGGCATGAACTACTACCTGCTCCTCGTTAGTATACTTTTGAAATTTCAATGCCACCGAAGGGTGCGCCTGACATTTCACTGTGGCCCATTCCCCTGGTTTCCGCGTATCAGTTTTCTTGAGGAGTTTTCTCCATGCTAACCTTCTTCTCCCGAGTACAATGTACGGTCATTATAGCTGTATTTAGACTGAAAGATGATGCCCCAGATACAGCTATAATGACCGTACGTTCTATTCGGGGGAAGAAGGTAGGGGATGCTATCTCACATTTCTGCGGAGAGTGGCCTCAAACCCTCCGTTAGTGACTTCCGGTTTCTTACCCTTATTTCTTCCTCTTCTACTTAGTCTGTAAACTCCTTTGCCTTCTTCTTTGGTTCTAACTTCCAACTCCCTGAGCTTCGCATTTTGTTCTCTTTTCTGATGGTCTAACGCTTGGTTAAGCGTCTCCGGTTACTCTGCCTCTGGCAGGGAGCAACTGGTGGCATGTCAGTGAGAGACTGCATTGTACTTTGCAGATCTCCCTGCTGCTCTGGCGTTGTCATTCCCCTGGACTGCTGCAAAGCGTTGCGAGCGGCTTGTTCAGTTTATTTTCTGCATAACGTATATTTTTTTCAGATTGTTTATTTTTTGGCTGGAACCTTCTTTGGTCCTTGCACGGCTGGGATGCCCAGGCAAACAAGGTGACCCAGGCGGCCCAGCTGGTAGCCTAGAAAAAAACATTTTTTTATTTTTATTTTTTTGGAGTCCATAACCCCCAATAACCCCACTGACAACCCCATACCCTGTCTCTTATACACATCTAGATGTGTATAAGAGACAGGAGGAGGAGAGAAGAAGAAGACGACAAAAAGAGGAGGAGGAGGAGAGAGGAAGAAGAAGACGACA